GGTAAGCTGCATATACTGCATTCCCCTCAGGTAGGAACAGAAAAGCACACTGTTGCCAGAATATTCCTCTCCTGGTCTTCACATGATGCTCCCAAATGATCATGAACTGTTATTTGATTTGCAGCTACACATGACAGATTGTCCTGATAAAAATGTTAAATGTCTAATTCTGCAATTACCTTCTGAAAAAGCTCAACAGCAGAACTTCTGTTTTATTGATTAATTCCCTTTTGGAGATTGCATTTCCTAGTCTTTCAGTTTTAACAAATCAGTTTTGACAGCTCTCTTCCAAGTGTGCCTAAGTATGTAATTTGTGGTTTAAAGTTTGTTTTTACTCATAAGCTCTATCTGTGCTAACATTTGTGGTAATCTCTACTGTCACAGTAACAGCAGGAACACATATGAACCAGACCTGCAATACATCTAATCCATCTCAGACCCCTTCCTAACAAACATGAAAATCACAAGCTAGTTAATCTCCTTCTGGTATTCCAGTTCAGATGTAATTGTGCACATTAAACATTTCTTTTCTCTTAAAAAAAAAAAAAAAAGGCAAAAGCAGCAGGAACAAGGATGCAGCACTGGGGCTTAGCAGGCAATTTTCAGTGAAGAAAGTCTGTTGCCATAGGTGAATACTTCTAGTTTCAAACCCTTCGGGAAAGGTGACAAAGCAATGTCAAATGTTACTGCAGAGAATCCTGCAGATGTGCTTTATGTAGTTACTCCTGACTGGTATCTTTGCCTAATGATAACCTTGACACAAGTCCCCTCTGAAAAGCAGAGATGGAAAAACATGCCAAAACAGGATGGGAAGATCACATGCTGTGCTTATTCCCGTACATTAAAGCTTTGAAAACTGTAATTTTTTATTTGAACCCCGCCACTTTCAAAATATTGCAAAATGAAAGGGTATGTTTTTTCTCATACAATGATCTGTATCAATAGTGAGGAGTAAGAACATTGTTTTTCCTCTAACAAGCCCATATCCTGTCACTGTGCCTGTCAGTGGGAGAGAAATACCAAATGGCTGGTAAATGTTTTGCATTTCCAATTATAGAAATTATTTTATTAGCTCCAGACAATCTGAAGAGCTTTTCCCAAATCTAGTCAATGATTCAATGCACGCTCTGGATTTCATTACAAACACTACTGAACTCTTAATAAAGAAGAATAATTTTAACCTTAATCTTGCTTTTTATTATGTCAGGATACATTCTCTCCGTGCTCACAGACCGAAACCTAATGGAAACAGAAGTGAGAACTGGCACAGCACGTCTGCATTCAAGTACCAGCATGGAGATGATCTTGTTACAGTCCACACCCTTTACACAGTGATCATCATGATCCTTCTAGGGGCACTCTGGGGAGCCTGGTCAAGAAAGGATTCATCCTTATAGCAGCAGTATAGGAACTTTGTCAAATATTTAAAGAAGTATTTGTGTCAATTATCCATACTCAAGAGGTACAAAAAATGGTCTCAGCATATTTCAGTTTACTTGAAACTGCTTAAGTGCTCGCTACTTGTGGAAGTGAATCTATGAAGCAATTTAACAAGCCATGTACAGAACATAATTTTGTGAATAACAGAGACCTCTTTGACCTGTACACATTTATATTACCCTCAGCATGTATATGAAACTTTAAGCATGATATTCTAGAAAGAAGAGTTCAACTTCTGTTTTATTGGTCAATATTTTGTATGTCCACCCCAGCTTTCCATTTGTGAACTTGCTGAGTCTCTACCTCTGCTGAGTTTGCCTGTCCCAATCCATGGTAAAACATGCACTGTAAGCAGGGATAATCTGCTGTGTCACAACAACATAGGAAAAAATAATCAACAAACCCAGCTATTGTGCTGGCAAAGGAAGATCACTGAAAAAGTCAAATTCTCATCTCCATTGCTGAAGAGTTTATATGGGACTTGCATCCATTATCTTTAACTTTGTGAACTCAGGAATAAAATAATGGAATAAGCTGCTTTGTTCTGTGCCTTTGTCACAGAACCAGCTGGCTCAGTCTTCACCTTGTATATATTTATCTGCAACCACCACTTGCTTTTCCATAATTCATGAACATCTCATGGCAGCACCAGCTCCTACGTACACCAGCCCATCACTGATGGGGGGCATTCCATACTCCCACATTTTCAAGGAAGTAATCCCACTCAGACAACCTGCAAGCTTTCTGAACATAGAGCCATTTGGCAGTTTCTGGCCAACTGTTTGCTGGTTGTCCACAGCTGATGAGCACACGTTAGTGGACTGGCAGCTCTGAGGGACAGTGACTGTTGGAGACAATTGTCCAAGCCTTGGGAGCCTAAACTCAGCTTAAACCCCAAATTTTAGCATTGCGTAAACTAATACACAGTATCCCAATAAAAAAAAAACAAACCAAAAAACACAAAACCCCAAAACTCTGGAAGATATTTAGACATTTTACAGACTCAGATACACATTTGTAATTAGGTAGTACTTGCAGACAACACAATTCTTAAAGTATTGTGTACCCCATTTTGGTATCCATCCATAATCAGGAGGGGTATATAAACTGAAATGTCTCTGAGGAGAGCTCCAGGACTGTTAACAAGGGTCAGTGTAGCACCAGAGACACCGGTGTCAGCTCTCAGCAGGCAGTGAGGTGCTGGAGTTGCTGTTCCTCCAACCAGTGTAACCCCACCTGCACAGACACCACCTCAGCCTGCTTTAACATGGGAGCAGTGCTTTGCTGATGCTCCCTAGAGAGCAGCACTGTCCTAGGGTGACATTAATGTGCTTGTATCCCCATTCAGGTGTTCTGTTAATGTTGGATATTATGTCTTTAAGACTGGATATTATGGATATTATATCTTTAAGATATTATGGATATTATATCTTTAAGATATTATGGATATTATATCTTTAAGACTGGCTCTGAAGAGGGAAAGTTTTGTTTTGGTTTTCTGATCAGCCTGGCGGGACACAGAGACTGCAGCTTTTGCTTTTTCTGCTTTTGCTTTTTGCTTTGCTCTCTCTGACTCTTGCTTGCTTCGCTTCTGCTTGCTTTTGCTCATTAGCTAGTTTAGCTAAACTGTCCAATTTCTTCCTGGACTGTTTCTCCTTTCCTTTTTCTGACCACTTTGAACCTGCTCCAGACTGGGACCTGGGAAACACCAAGATTCTGCACCTTGTGGCCTGCAGCAGCTGCCCCAGCACCAGAGGGACTGAGAACAGTGACCACCCCCCAAGAGAGACTTTCTGAATTTGTCATCTTTTTCAGAGTGTTGCCATCTGATATTGTTCATTTTGTGTGCTGGGGGTGCTGTGCCTATTAAATAAACAGGTTCTTTCCACTTCTCTCTGAGGAATCCTTCCCGAAGCGGCTGGGGGAAGGGGCCCTAATTTGGAAATTCTCCTCCAAATTTGCCCTAAACCAGGCCAAGCACACAAAGGAATACTTAAGAAAACAGATTACTAGAAAATTAAATACATTGTCACAGAACATAGGGACCCAGTCATAAAACACGTAGGGTGAACACTACAAGTGAACACAAAAGGATGGGCCCTCCCTTGTCAATATACATTTGAAATACAAAAGATGGGAGAGGGACCTACACATTCTGACAGCAGCACAAAAACCCATGGTGATCAGGGCTCTGGGCCAGGCAATGGCCTCAGTGTGCTGGAAGTCAAACACAAAATCCCAAATGCACCCCACCAAGGGAAAAAAACAAACCTAGAACAATTGACCACACATCATGATGTAGCATTTAATTGTTAAATTTATAAATTCTGCAGGTATAATCCTGCCTCTGAAGCACTGGAGGTCCAAATAAAGTATTGAAAATACTTCAGTTTCTTCTTTCACTTTGTGACAGAGGAGATGAGGTATGAAAGTTCAGAAGTGACTGCTGCAGAACATTAAATGTTTTGAAAAACATTTCTCAAAATTTTGCTTTCTTGGAAAACAGCCTTATTTATTTAACAGTAACATTAGAGATCTAAATTAAATAATTTTTAATGTGTTCAGAAAGACAACTGTATCTTTGCAGGGTGAACAAAATCTACTTGTATTACCAGTTTTTGTAAATAACTCATTTAACTTGGATAATGCAACCACATCTAGAGAAAACCTGCCCTAACCTAGGGCATAGACCTGCAACACAAACAGACTCAAATCATCTGCCTGACTGAATAACACTGGAGACTTCAGCTCCCAAAATAATTTCCTGTAAATCCACCCATGAAAACACCTCATTTGGGTCTCACAGTAAATCACAATTTAACTTATGTCAACAGTAATGACCTATTTAATGTCTCTACACCAATGAAATAGATGGAGAGGTAGAAACTGGGAACCCAAGTTTGGAACTTGTGTGTCAAAACTTTACGCAGCAATCATTTTATTACTATTTCCCCTGTACTAAACAGACTGGACAGATGTTTTACATGTGTTCAAAAAAGGCAGTGGTTTAAGTAAGCCTGTCTGCTGATATTTTAAACTAACAAAAACATTGTCGTTCAGCAGTGAACCTTATGATATATTCCATGTACCAACTGGACTGTCAGAAAAGGAAAACAAGTCTCTTATTTTCCATGGTCATTCTCACATGCTGATGTGACAGACTTTTGAAGACTCAAGTCCTTCCAAGCTCCATTTTTTACTACTGCATCACATTTCCCTTTAGAGAGGATGATGCATTCTGTAAAGCCATCTTTAAAGCAAGATGTCAGCACAGCCATTTGTCCCTAATCCTTTGATAAACCTTGTCATTCCCTTAATATTTCGTAACTAAATTTGCCATTGGTCTGGTTGGTAAGAAAACGATGGTATTTCTACTACTGTGTTTTAACTAAGGGAAGACTTAAATGAAATCAAAATGCAAAACTGAAGCTGTAAATTTCTGTATTAAACACAGAAACACAGACAAAACCAGGATCTACCTCTCCTTCAAAGTGTATGTGTAAGAATGTGAGGCATTCTCTTCCAAAGATAATACCTCAGAAAACATCAGGAAAAAAAAATGCAGACAGCTATAGTTTTATACAAATCTTAGAAAAACAATACAGCATAAAAATAACAAACAGTATGAATTTCTACCTAATTAGGACAGTACTTAAACAGGATGCTTGCATGTGATTAAATGATACACATTCACAGTTGTTGCACCTGGTGACTACTGGAAATCAATAGTCCTCCTAGTTCCCTTTGATGGCCTTTCCTAGCAGTGGTTCAAAAAACCAAGTTTTATGTCCTTTAAGAATACTTTGTAAGCTTTATTGACAATTTAAGTGGGTACAACCTATGGCATAAATTTGTCTGTGAATTCTGCACCTGTAACCAGGCTCTATGAGTTCAGCACCACCATGCATAAATCAGTGTAAAGTAAGTAAAATCTCCTTATCCTTTAAAGCCAGCAGTGGATGCCATCAGAGTGTCAGGTGCTAACACCACCACAGCATTATCCACACAGACCTCATTCTTCATTGTGCACATCTCTGGTGCCCCTGCTCCACACTGCCACTGGCTGGCATTGGCACCCCTCTGCCCCTTCCTGTCCTCAAAGGGTGGGGAGCAACTCTACCCCAGGAGCACAAAGAGGGAGATGTTGCTGATTGTTTATGGAAAATTTTCTCTTTCTAGTCCATCAGAAATACTTGGGCTGTAAAGATGCCTTTTCTGGCAGTAGTATTGTTAAAAGGATAACATCCATCGGGTTACCAAACCAAAACAAATCAGAGCACAGTTAATAAAAATGATTTACAATGTTTGAACTCTCTCTGGGACTACTAAAACATTTGACAAAAGACAAAATTAAGTACAAATTTCCAAGCCTTTTGTTTAAGTTCAGCTTAAAGTACTGCCAACTCTCCCTTGTCAAGAAAAAGGACCATAATGTCAGTGGCAAATTCTGCTTGGCATGCTCTCTGTGCTTAGAACACAGCTCAGGTCACCCTGGTGTCCAAGCCTGGTTAAAGCTCAGATGTCATCACACTACTCAGTACTACTTCACTTCCTCTGAAATTTATTTCCATCTTTTCACAAAACATCTTTTGTTGACATTCTGCAAACAACACTATCCAATAAGGTGCCGATTTTTTCTTCCTGTGGAGTGACTTTGTACATCTGCGGAAAAAAACCAAGAAAAACAGGAAAGATGTATAAGGAAGAAAAGAACTGATGACATACCTTCTAAAACTATGTACCAAGAAAAGATTATTCCCCTCTCCCCCACTTTTATATTGGAAATTCCTATCTTCTTGTGACTGCAAGACAAAATTTGGACTGAAGCAAATTCTGAAACTGCAAGAATAAGGAAAGCTACGAAACTGAATAAGAGCAGCACTTTTAACTCTGTATGTTAAATGTTATGATCTGTCCAATTTTATTCATATGTCTCCTATCAATACTTTGACAGACATGATAAAGATGATTGAAGTTACTTGAATTTTATCATGTAGAAGACATATGCTTCAAAATACCTATTTAGCATATGGTAATCTGTTAAAAGCATAAATACCCCAAGACAGCTCCTAACAGCTAATTAATCTGTTCCTATTTTAACCACCCCTCCTGGGATTATCTATCTACTGAAGCTTATGAAAATGCTCTGAACTGAAATTTTTAATTAAATTAATATTTGCCTGAAAAACAGGAATCTAAAGTTCTTGGATAGTAGGCAGCAATCAGGAATTCATTTTTATGCTCTAATTCCCTGACAACATTAATAATTTGAAGACTTAAATTTTGTGATGTCAGGGTGTGACAACTAAAATTTGTTTCAACTAAAAAATTCAAAGAAATAATCAACGTCCACTTAAAACAAGTTTTCAGTTGTGCTAAAAAAATACAGATCCTAAGTCAGTTATTTCTGTTGATATTTCATCAGACAACTAAATAAACTGTCCCTTTTCTCCATGTCAGTCCTCTCTTTTCCACACCTTTTTAACTTTGGCAGTGTCTGTTAGCTGAGGGAGTTCATCTAGGGAAACCTGCTGGCCTTCCACCTGAGATGTTATATCTGCCAGGTTTACATTCTTGTCTCCATCCACAACCAGCACAATGAGTACTGCTGTGTCGCTGTCTGAAATGCCAAACTTTTTAAATGCATCTGAAATCTGAAAAAAGAGAAAAAAATACTATGAGTCACTTTCTTACTACATATAAGGAACCTTTTCAGTTACTGTGTCAGATACACCAAAACTATAAATTGACAAACATTTTACATTAAAGGAATTCTGACAAGCTACAAACCATAATAGCACATTAGTGACATTAAAAATAACAATTAAAAACTTCTACTAGTAGCTACGTAGAGTGTTAAAGGAATACATGTACTTAGTTTGGCTGTTTGGATCCTAGCAAGCTTTTCTGGCAAAAAAGAAATTTGTTCAATGGATCTTACATTGTTGCTTGGTGAAAGGCTGAAAATAATTTCTGCATAGAGTGTTCTAGTCTTCATTTTACCTATCTTCTGTAGATGCACTGCTTTGTTGGCTGCCACAAGAATCTGAAAAGGATCTACAATCTGTAAAACACAACAGAAATTATACAAAAATAATACAGAAATTACTGTTTTGAAATCTGAAAAAAATCCTGACCACTTCATTTTGATAGCCTAATTCTAATTCTAACAAAAAAAGACTAGATTCTGAAACTATTTATAGGTTAAATAAGAACAAAGGCACCAAATAGTAAACTTTAGACAGCATAAATTAATTAGCACTAGAGTTTACACATGAAGCAGATTTAAACGCCATCAAGCAGGAAGTGAAATTAATCAAAACAATGGTTTTGGCCAATCTTGCCAAGGCTCTGTTTAACGAGCCGACCCTTTCCGCTGCAGGACGCAGCAATGAAACCAAAGGCGGGCACTCGCGGGGCCCGGAGGACGCGCAGAGCAGCCCGTGTGACAGCCACGGAGAGCACGGGCCGGCCTGGCGGAGCCCCCGCGGGCATCCACTCGCACTCACTCACCATCGCGGGGTTTATCAGTGCTCCCTCAATGGACCCCTCCATGGCTTTTTTCCGCAGAGCAGCGGCATTTTTCACGTGCTGGAAGAGGAGCAGCGTGACGCTGCGCTCAGGGAACAGCTCCAGCCGGTGCGTTCGCTCCATCCCCGGGGTATCGGCCGCTCGGCCCGTGGAAAACACAGCGCTAACAACACAGCGGCCGCCCACACCGAAGCTCGCCTTCCCACAGGAACGCCCCGGTTCCCGGCCCCGCGTCCCTTCCCGCCCGGCCGGGTGCCGCCCCTGGCCCCGCCCCGGAAAGGCGGCCCCATCGCGGCCGGCGCGGAGCCGGCATGGAGCGCGCCGAGGCCTACGGCTTCTCGGGCGCCATGAGCGGCGCCTTCCTGCTGTCCTGCCTGCTCTTCGCCGCCGTCAGCCGCCGCCTGCGCGGGCCCTACATGGACGAGGTGTTCCACGTCCCGCAGGCGCAGGCCTATTGTCAGGGCCGCTTCCTGCAGGTCAGGAGGGGCGCACCCTTGCAGCAGCAGCGGCAGCGGCACAGCAGCGCTCGGGGTCGGGGCTGGCCGGACGCGGGTTGTGTAGCGGGTGGAGCCGCAGCCGGGCAGGGCAGAGTTCAGAACCCTCAGGGCAGCAGTGCCGGGAGCTCTCGGAGCCTGCGGCCGAGCGAGGGGTCGTGTTGCGGTGGTGTAGGCGTGGCGGGGCTCGGGGCCTGTGAAGGCAGCGGCCCCATGACGCTGTGTGTGTCCCCTTTGCAGTGGGACCCCATGATCACCACGCTGCCCGGCCTGTACCTGCTCTCGGTGGGAGTGGTGAAGCCCGCGGCGTGGCTCCTCGGCTGGACGGGAAGCGTGGTGTGCTCTGTGGGAATGCTCAGGTTTATCAATCTCCTCTTCAGTGCTGGCAACTTCTACTTACTGTACTTGCTTCTGTTCAAGATCCATCAGAAGAATAAGGTACGGTCAAAGTAAAGGGATGTTATGCACTCGTGCAAGCAACTTTGATGGCTTAGTGTGTGTTCCCTTCACTACTTCAGTTTTCTGTAACTGCGAGTACCATTACCAGTTTGGCCAAGAAGGTACATTCCTCTTCTCTAATTTTTTTTTAATTTTTTTTTTCTCGCACAAGGTGCAGTTCTCTAAAAATTCATTCTTGCACATAAGTAGATGGAGTCCTGTTAAAATAAAAGTTAGTAGATATGCAGACTTATTATCCAAAGGTCTGGATGCTCATGTCATTGGAATTGCTTAAATCCTCACACAACTTGGACAGTGGCTCCTCAGCTGCTCTGTGAGCAGCCTGTGTCATTTAAGGGAATTTCTTGTTTTTCAGCTGCAGGCATTTGGATTTGGCCTTGTTGAATTTCATCATATTTTCATTACCCCATTCCTCCAGCCTGTGTGGGTCACTCTGAATGACACCTGTGCTTTTGAGCAAATTGCCTGGTCCTGCTCATACAGTGTCAACTACAGGCTTGGTGACAGTGTACTCTTGTCTGTCTTGTCTTTGATAAAGCCATTAAATGGAACAGGTCCCAGTATTGATCCCTGAGGTCCTTGGGTTGTTACTGTCCTTTGGGTAGAGTGTAACAAGTTCACAGCCTAGCCAGTTCTTACCTGTCTAGCTGTCCACACATCCAGACCATAACAGTTCAGCTTGCATACAAGAATGCTGTATATTTAAAAGTCTGAAGCATCCACCACTGCAGTAAATGAGTTGTTTTACTGGTTAATGGCCTATTTAAACTCCTGCACATTAGTAAAGTTACTTTTTTTGACTTTTAACCTTAAAACATTTTTTTCCTGTTCCCTGATAACTGAAGGATTCCTTTACTACAAAGAAAATTGGTGTATTTTCCTAGAGGAAACCTCTTCATTTTTAAGCAAATTATAACACTGTACAGAATTAGATCAGATTAAATAAATGGTTTCCACTTTTAATTTTATACTTCAAAGTGGAAACATAAATGTAAGAACAAGTTTCATGACGGTAGTCTAGGCATTTAGTTATCCTTTGACATTTCTTTGACTTCAGTGTTTCCTCTATTCCCCTTCCTTGTAAGGTGGTGAGTCGCTGTTTCACCCCACACTACATCATTCAGAAACATCATGCAGCATTTTTAATGTTGTGATTTATTTGTGGTGTTGTCATGTAGTGAGTGGGATAATTGGGAAGAGGTTTCAGCTTCATGGTCTCTTACCTTTTTTAAAATTTCTTTCCTGACTCATTAATTATAATGAGGATACATAATAAGAGCTACATTAAAGATCAGAAACTTGGAGTTGGCCTCCCTGTGGACTGGGTTCAAAAGAGGTGATAGTAGAGGCAGAGAATGGTGCTGTCACACAGATAAACAGAATCTCATGGTGAGATTGCTGGGGAATAAACCATTGATTTTATCTTCTTCTGCCCATTGATGCAGCCCTTTCATCCAAAGTATGGGAGCAGTTATGCCCCCACCATGATTTTAATACCTCAAATATGTGCACACCTGACATATGAAAGAAGTTGGTGTATTTTCATTGCCATCTTTTTAAATCACCTGTAGTGATGTTCTGTGCTTTTAGCTCGGATTTTAACATTGTGTAACTGTATTAACATAGCAGGAACTTAAGAAAAATACAGCATTTGTGCAATAATGGAAACAACATAGGAGATGTCTATTGTGTTAATGGAATTCTCAAGAGTTACACAAGTTTTCTTTTAATGTACTATTTTATTTTATTGGGCATTGTCTAACTACATTTTTCTGCTTCTTCTTTAGGCTGTGTCTGGCTTCCAGAGAATCTTGTCTGCATTAACTCTTGCAGCGTTTCCCACCCTTTATTTTTTTACATTCCTTTATTATACGGATCCAGGATCAGTGTTTTTTACTCTTTTTTCCTATTTAATGTGCCTTTATGGTAACCATAAAACTTCTGCTCTCCTTGGATTTTGTGGCTTCATGTTCCGTCAGACAAATATTGTGTGGACAGTTTTTTGTGCTGGAAATGTTGTTGCAGAGAAGCTAAGTGAAGCCTGGAAGATTGAGTTGCAGAAAAAGAAAGATGAAAAGATTTCTTCCAGGAAAGGATCATTTTCAGATTTGACCAGAATACTGCAGTTTCTTGTTAAATATCTCTTGTCACCCAAAAATTTAGTTACACTTACTGCTTTAACTTGGCCATACATCATTTTAGTATCTCTCTTCTTTGTTTTTGTCTTCATCAATGGTGGAATAGTTGTTGGTGACAGAAGTAGTCATGAAGCCTGTTTGCACTTTCCTCAGCTGTTCTATTTTCTGTCCTTTACTGGTTTTTTTTCATTTCCTCATTTACTGACCCCCACTAAAATCAGGAAATTCATGTTGTCATTGAAAAAGCACCCTGTGCAGTATAGCTTAGTCACTGTCATCTCTTTATTCCTGATCTGGAAATTTACCTATGTCCATAAGTATTTACTAGCAGACAACAGACATTATACATTTTATGTCTGGAGAAAAGTGTTCCAAAGACACGAGCTTGTAAAATACCTGTTAGTTCCATTCTATCTATTTGCTGGCTGGAGTTTTGCTGATACACTAAAATCAAAATCAATGTTCTGGATCTTAATGTATTTTGTATGTTTATTAGCAGTCACAATTCCTCAAAAATTGCTAGAATTTCGTTACTTTATTTTGCCATTCTTGATATATAGACTCAATATTCCATTTCTGTCTCTACATAGACAACTTCTGGAGCTGGCTTTTTATATTTTGGTAAATGCTGTAACTTTTTATCTTTTTCTAAATAGAACATTCCAATGGGAAAATAGTGATGAAGTACAGAGATTTATGTGGTGACTTTTTTTTTTTTGATACTTTTATACCTGTAGGAAAACACAGTTCTGTTTCAGGACTGGACTCTGGAATGAAACAGTATATTTTGCATCATGTAAGGATGATTTTCCCTAGCTGGAATTGGGAAGTAAGCTCTTTGCTTACATTGTTGCAACCAAATGCAAGATCTGTTATAATGTGAAGATATTCCATATATTGAATTTATGAAAATATAAAAATTCAATATGAGGGGAAATGTGAGAACACCTTTCTGCAATTAATGTAAAATAAGGGAGATGTTTACTGTCATTTTTCATGATAATAAAATATTATATAACATGCCCTTGAAGGTAAAATAGCTTATAAATATGTTTCAGAGGTTTCTTTTTTACAAAAGAAGGATTTCAGTCTACTCAACCTTTTTGTTTATTTATCTGTGTGCATATTTATTCCTCAGATCAGGCCATTTCCTTCTAGGTTTACTAGTGGTCAAAGTATAAACCACTATTAAAGTACAATGTTTTCAAAGCCTCCTACATCTCTCTGAATTTTCATTACTTTTTTTGTCAGTATATGCTTACATTAGTTTTGTAAGCAGAATAGGCTCTTAAACCACTAGAGAATTTTGAACTTTTTATTTTAAACTGATATTTAGAAAACACAGTGGATGCTGTGTGTGTGCACCTTCTTTGGAGGAACAAGTGTTACTGTAGAATAAAGCATAAATGGCAGTTGGTAATGTGACCTCTTAGACAGGGAGGAGTTTACAGATGTCAGACTGCAACGTGCAGTGGATTGCAGCCCTCTTTAATAATTGAGCTTTTATGTCCTGTGGTTCTGTGCTCACAGGTTTGTGCTGAAATCAACTCTGAGTGCACTTCTGAGTTGCACTGAGTGTTTCAAAGATCTTTGATGTGTGATCTTCAAGGATTACTAATGGCATTATTGAACTATTCTTTTAAGTATTTTTCACGTTTAATGGAACTTGAGTGTATATATTCTGTTTGACAAAGTGATGTATATTTACATATATTGATGTATATATATTTAAAAGCATCTAGTGTGCACTATCATCAGAGTAAATGAAGGCTTTAATAGTTCCTGTAAGTAAATCACTTACATTAAGTCTCAAAAATATTTGATTGCTGCAGTATGTGGCAGGGGAATGTGGTCTCCAAAACTTCAGGCACTGTGTAGCTTCTTTAAATGCATTATTGTTCTCTAATGATAATACTCCAGCCAAATCTGTGCAAACATGATATTATTGCCACTCAAGTCACTTGGAATTGGAATAGTTTCTCAAGAGATCAGTTCTGGGAGTGACAAGCTCAGGTCAATACTGTTACTGGTTTCTTTTACCCCACTGTAAAATCCCTGTCCTGGCTCCAGTTCCTTCCCTGTACTAGCCCTGTGATGGGTGTGGTGTGATGGTACTAGCCCTGTGATGAGCTCAGGTTCTGATCAATGCCTCTGCATCCCTTTTTCTCCCAAGGAAACCCTCCAGCCACTCTTCAGTGAGTAGGTGTTTGTATTGAGTTCAGGATATTTGCCAGGTCACTTTTTGCTTCTTGGCCTGTTGCCAGCCTGGGAATTTGTTGTCAATATGTACCATAGGGAGAACCATTTTCAATCAGTACCTATTTGCTTCTTCACATTGAAGGGACAAATGAAACCTGAAATGGATTGCTTTTGAGGAATCCATTGTGGTTCTGGCAGAGTCCAGGATGTGTTGTGATTTCAGTATCACAGATTTGGGAGGGGAAGTCTTGTGTGCCTTCTGCTTCCAATTTTGTTTTTGTATGCCATGCCAATAAAATCATTCGTTAAAGAGCATTTGCCTGCTTAAGTACAACTTCATTTGTGCCCTGAAATACTGAGTTGGAATGGTAACTTGGAAAGGCATGGAGCTCTGTCTAGTATTCCAAGTTGTATCTTAGACCCAAAGTTTTTTTTTCTGGTTTTATGTAGGGGAGCAGGTGTTTCACAGAATCACAGAATTTCTAGGTTGGAAGTGACCTTCAAGATCATCGAGTCCAACCCATGTTCTAACACCTCAGCTAGATCATGGCACCGAGTGCCACATCCAGTCTTTTTTTAAACACATCAAGGGATGGTGACTCCACCACCTCCCTGGGTAGATGATTCCAGTATTTGACCACTCTTTCTGTGAAAAACTTCCTCCTTAATTCTAGCCTGTATCTCCCTTGGCGCAGCTTGAGACTGTGTCCTCTTGTTCTGTCTGTTGTTGCCCGGAGAAAGAGACCGACCCCCAGCTCACCACAGTCACCCTTCAGGAAGTTGAAGACAGTGATAAGGTCACCTCTGAGTCTCCTTTTCTCCAGGCTGAACACCCCCAGCTCCCTCAGTCGTTCTTCTTGTGTTCCAAGCCCCTCACCAGCCTCATTGCTCTCGACACGCTCAAGCATCTCAACGTCCCTCCTAAACTGAGGGGCCAGAACTGGACGCAGCACTCAAGGTGTGGCCTCACCAGTGCTGAGTACAGGGGAAGAATGACCTCCCTGCTCCTGCTGGCCACACTATTCTTGATACTAGCCAGGATGCCATTGGCCTTCTTGGCCACCTGGGCACACTGCTGGCTTTAATTCCCTTGAGAAAAAAAATTACCTTGCAAAGATCCCTGTGTAGTCAACAGGTGTTTTATCCAGCATATTTTTGTTTTTACTGGTTTCAAGTCCCATCCTTGATCAACTCTGTTGAGAGACTGTTCATGATTTGTATTTTTAACAGAAGTAGCAGCTGTGTTTCAAGTGAAAAGAACCAGTTTAAATATGTACAATTTTAAAAACAATTTTAAAACTTTTTTTTGTTGTGAAAAGTGAATGCAAAACATCCACCAAAATTTAGAGCACAATACCTTTCTAATGAGCTCCACCCCAGGAGACACTAGAAAAATGACACATAGAGAGATGTCTGTGACCTGTTGGGGCTGTTCAAGCAGTACTATGAAATGGCATAATGTTTTATAATGGAATTTATCACCATACTTACAGGTTTTAATTTAAAAGTAAAATGATGCTTAATATATTTTGCTCATTTGAAAGCAGGCTAAGTTGATAAAAGTTTATTTAAAGAGGGAAGTTGATGAATTACTTAAGTATGAAAGGAGAATGTATTTGTAGAATAAAGCTACATTTTCACTTTTGTCTATGAGCCTTAGGGTGTTTGCAGGTAATATTCAATGTTAGCCAAGTCAGTCCAGAAATCAGAGGCATTATATTGTATCAGAACTGGTCATAAAGCCAATTCCATCAGTATTTCCTAGAATTTTGACAAATAGCAGTAACACTGTTGAAATCCATTGAAAAATGGATTTTAGTATTTTGTATTTTGCCCCTGAGATATTTCCATTGTAGTTGTTTTAAATTTGTTAACTGTTTTCCTTAAAGACATGCAAAAAGGGCTGTATTTATCCTGCTTCATGTTGCCAAGGTCTTCTACATTCAATAGAACCATAATTGCTTACTTCTGTTAATTCTCAGCAGGTGTCAGTGAAATTTCTTACAACAGCTTTAAAATGTTAATTTCTTGTAAATTTTCTTAGTTATCAATTTAGAATAAAGTCGCACTAATTCCTTGAAGTATTTAAGGTAAAACCAAAAATAACATAGCTAACATTTCTATCATGGCTGCTTTGAAAAAAAGGCTCAGTTTTAATTTTTCTTAGATGATTTTTCAGTAACTGTTGGAATAATGATAGCTGAACAGTCACAGAATGGCTGAATTGTTTTGAAATTAAGGAAAAAGTAGAAACAATTGAACCTTTTTATTATTTTAGTTAAAAATATGTTGTTATTTGGCAAGATAGGAAGTTTGATAATGCTTTATGCTGTGAACTACATTTCCTGCTGTTTGTGAGCATTCTATGATATTTCATTCCTTATAACTTCCTTGACAACACATGTTCATGTTCAAAATTAGTAAGAATTTTATACCATAAGCAATGCTGAAATATTTTTTCCTGTGAGTTTTCTAGAGGGTTAATAAATAAGATGAATGACTTCTGTTAGAAAGTAAGGAAAAAGTATTTTATCGTGTCTGGGGGCAGTTGAATTTTGTCCTGCTAATGCAGTTCTGGTGTTTTTTGTTGTTCACGAGGTGGCAGTCCTGTGCTGTCTTCTTGAGGTGACCAAGTGCTTCGTGCAATGCTGCTTGAAATCATAATGTTGTTCCAGCAACACTCTGATAATTAGAAAACTTCAATTAGCTAACTGATTCAGCTATAATATCCTTGTTAGTTTAAATACATACAGTATGTTAAATTTTACTAGAACAAGTTTTGTTCATCTTTAAAATGTCTTTCCTGCATTTTTTTCTGTTTGTGAAATTTTCATGTCTGCTCTAAGAGAGCAAAATGAAACTTGAAATCCTACTGTTGTAAAGATGTTTCTAGCAGATTAGCAGATCTCCTTTGGGTGTTTTATTATTAAATTTCACAGTATTCTTACTTTCTTGCATATTCATTCTGTTTGTATCTGTCTAAAAAGAAAAAAATCCTGAAGGACCAATTGAGAAAAGCAGAATGATTATGCTGTTGAGACATGGTGACTTTCTGAAATATTCACTCTTTTTTGGGTGATGCACATACAAACTATATATGCTCAAGTGTCTGTTGGCCCTATAGTAGTCAATATACCATCTTTTAAATGCATCATCTAGTTTTCATGTAATGAAAAATTGTAAAGTCCAGTCCATGAAAATGCTTCTAATTATCTTAAACTTTGGCTATATTCAGCATCCTAATTTTTTCTCCTGAAAAACTTTGCACTCCTTGCTTATCCCTAGTTAGATAAGACATGCTTTTTATTTTCAATTCAGTGACATTTTTCTGTCACCTGAGGCATGTTTTATAGAAAAACATCCTTCTCAAAAGTATGCTTTAGATAGATGCAGATAATTGGTTTTGCTAACAAACATCCTTTTGCAAACAAAAAGGATCTGTATGAGACAGAAATGCTAATCTACCTAGCCATGTGTAGCTAAAATGCCCTTAATTTGCCAGTTTTTCTGCTTGATCTCAGAATATGCTCAGGACCTCATGCTGTTCAGCTTCACACATAGTTGGGATACGAGGAGCAGGAAGCAAGAGGAAAAATGTTTCTGCAGGTCATTGTCATGGCAGTGCTGCCCTGGCTGGGAGTGTGCAAGGCTGCCAGGAGCAGGAGCCAGTGGGTGCTCCTGGGGCTTAGAGGGCACCACTGAATTTAGCAGAGCGCTGTGGCTGGCTAAAGTACCTGGTGATCGGGGAGAGCTGCTTGCCATGCACGAGTATGGGAATGTCTTCTCCAGCTGCAAGGAGAATCTGCTTGTTGCTAGAGCTGGCTGGATCTCTGGGAGAATGATCCTACTGAAATCTGACAGGGAAATGGTTTGTTGGAAGATGTTTTAGGGCTTCACTGTGCGTCCATAAATAAAAAACTGTTCTTGCTGTGTTCAGGAGATGTGAGCTTACTTGAAACTCAGCTGAGTATTCACAAATAGGGAAGGAGTTACTTTCATATTTATGGAATCATAGAATCATGAAGTTTGGACAAGACTCATAAGACCATGGAGTCCAGCTATCAACCCAGTACCACCTTTTTCACCACTAAACCATATCCCCACCTGCCACATTCATGCACCTTTTGAACCCTTGGAGGGATGGTGATTCCAGCACTTCCCTGGACAGCCTGTTTCAAAGCCTGACTGCCTGTTCCATGAAGAATTTTTTTGTAATATCCAATCTAAACTTAAGGCCATTTCATCTAGTCCTCTCACTTGTTATATGGGAGAAGAAACCAGCCCTGACCTCACTACAACCTTGGTTCAGATACTCTCTTCAGACCTATAAGTTTAATATATGTAAATCGCATTTTCCTGTGATTCCCATTTGATTCCCATCAAATCTCAAAAAGGCATTGTCTGTCTGATTTTCAGTTGCGCAGATATTTTAGTGGGTTTATGATACTTTGGACCTGATTAACATAAGAGATTTGATAATCGGGATGCCTTGGTAAAAAGAAGCAGAACTTTGAAGATATGGGAGGATTGGATCAGATTGGTGACAGGCAAGAAGATTGAATCAACTTTTACAAGCAAGAGATGTTGCAAAATGTATAAGTTTATGTGATGACTTGTGGTCACCAACTGCTGTGATGTTGTTGTGAGGGTCCCCAGGATGAGGTGAGAGATGAGAATTTACTCCAAGTTCTCAGAAGGCTGATTTATTATTTTATGATATTACTTTATATTAAAATGATATACTAAAACTATACTAAAGAAAGAGAAAGGAGACATCAAAAGGCTAGAACAAGAATGATAATAAAAACCCAGAGTCTGACACAGCTGGCTTTGATTGGCCATTAATTAAAAACAATTCACATGCTGGGTAAA